TTTTCTATCTCGATATTTTCTATCTCGATATTTTCTATCTCGATATTTTCTATCTCGATATTTTCTATCTCGATATTTTCTATCTCGATATTTTCCATCTCGATATGTTCCAACCATCTTTGAGCATTATGTAGTGGATTGTTGGGTCGATGGAACATGTTACATCAGTGCAGTTAGCGCTATGGGATACAGCTGAACAAGAATATACTTACCCCACGAGCTCCCGGCGTCGCGCTGCGCGCTCCGCATAGAATTTCGATGTAGGGTTGCAGCTGCAATTGAAATTCGGAGTCTGATAAATATGGATGATTCATAAAAAGTTGCCCCCAAAGCGCCGGGTTTCTTCGTTGCGCTATTGCGCTAAACCTTAAACAACCAAGGAAACGGAACGACGCCTTTTCCGATTGGTCAATATAGGCACGGACCACTCTCGACCATTATACATCGGGTTCTTTTTTATCAACAGCCATTAGACACTAGGTGAATGTTCTGTGAGGTCTAGTCAAGGCATGAGTGTCCTTGGCGGGCATCGATCCCGCTACGGTCGACTACCGCCATTAGAGAGCTGTGAAGGAATCGAGTTCGCTGAAGATAGGTCTAGGTCAATTGGTTTGGGATAGGGTAAGTTATGGCGAGGTGAGGGAGTATTATTGAGATGTTCGAAACCTCCTGTGGCATCTAGTTATAAGTTATTTTTATCGCTTCTAGTAGTAGGCGGAGTGTAAGGGGTAGTCTACGCTATAGTTATTGAGCTGTCCTCCGAACTATCCGTAGGTTGTGCTTCCGTTCCTAATTTTTGTTTCTTTGTAGGAGTAGACGAATCGACACGGCGATCCCAACGTTTCGAACGTTTCGGTGTCGGTGTTGGCGTTAGATTCGGTGCAGAGATCGTTGTGGCAGTAGACCTTGGTAAGTATGCTAGATTAAGAATACGTAGGGCCAAGTAGTTAGTTTCCGTCGTGCGACCAACAATTTTAGCGGTCACGCCGATATAGGTAGGATCCTGAGGATGGCATCTTAACCTTTTGCCACTAACGACTATTTTCAAAGAAGTAGACGATGGAGAATTGTATAGGCGTACTCTTCGAGGTATTATAGACCGACGTTTAAAGTTCAAAATAACGTAGATCAAATTGTTGAAGAGGGTCATCGGTGCTTCGTGCTCCAACTGAGCCGGTTATCGTCACCATTGGGCACCATCGTTGAGGTAAGTGGCTACGGTACTCGTCGAAGTCTGAGACATCGCCTAGGTGTCTGAATAGGGTTAGCCTATAATATAGATAGGTGTAGGTTAAGAGTAATGGGGTGACATATAGTTAAGACGACCTACCTTATAAGCGCCCATCCGCGGAGAAGAAAGCGTTGGGAATGTATAGATTTCGTTCCGCATGAGTGACATAGGCGCCGATTCGTGTTTAGATAGGCTCCACGATGACATTAGAACTATAGAAGCGATCTCCCTTGAAGATATTGATATCTGCTTGGATCTCAATGTAGTTAGGGTCGGTTCGCGTAGGATCGTCGACCACATAATCCACAAAGTCCCGTAGATGAATCGTGTTAGTCAGGGAGAGCAGTCGAGATGACATATCGTCAAACGGTAAGAGGTATTGATGGCGCAGAAAGAGCCAAACGAAGTGAGTAATATATAGTACAGGATAAGGGATAGTGAATTATTCTTGATATTAGAGGCAGCATCTCAATTTCTGTAGAAGATAATATTCCAAATCAAGATAGCCATACGTGCGTGGCTGATATCCTAATGCATATTGATTCTCAAGAGTGTGACAGATGGTGGGAGAGGGCCAATCAAAGAACACAACGCGGTTGAGATTAATGAGTAGACGTGCAATGCTCTCTCCCACCGCGTTTGGGGAATGCTAGACGGTTTCAGCTTTCAGAGAAAAGTCGTACAAAGAGGAGCATCGAATAGACACACCGTAAGCTATTGCAGCCTTAGTCACAGAAAGTGAAAATGTCACACCTAACTTGTATTAAGCATGTGTCAAGATCGAGAGAAGCGAAAACCTTAGAGTAGGTAGTACGGCTTCAAGCCCATGCAGATTTAAAGCGGAACTAAGGGGTATCTAGATCGTTGCTCTACTCTATCTCAGGCGGGAGGAGAAGCTGAGGGTGCACGACGTTGATCGTTTGACAGTCTTGGTTATCAGGAGCCAGCAGTAGCCGGATGTTAGAGCTGTGACGAACCCGAGACAGACTCGTATAAAGCTAGCCATGGGCGAAGACTAGACTAGTCCAGTCGAGCACGACTCGATCTAGGGTGAGCCCCTGGCAGATATTGAAAGTGGTGGCATAGGCGAGGCGGAGGGAAAATTGACGTCGCTGCACCGTCCAACTAGTGTACTACGGGTGGAAGTTAAAGTTACTCCTGGGGAGGTAGAAAGATTGATCGCCAGAAGAACAGGATGTCGAATGGAGGAGCTCTACTCGCACAATATGGCGATGGAGCTCGAGGATCCGGACTCGAACATTTTTCACCAAACCTTTCTCAATAGATAGGTTGCGCAGAATACTGCATATTGTGCCCACCTTCAACTGTAGTTTATGAGGCGGCACACCTGGCTCAATCAAAAGATATGGCTGTAGTGGACACAATCCACATCTTTCTGAGAGATTCTATGCTCATCAAGGGTGACGCCGATTCTGCACACTACGATATAGTCTCTGCTAGTTGTCCTTGCGACATGGCTGATGCTCTTCTTCTTGAGGCTAGACGGCGACTTCCGCATTCAAGTTGATACTAGTCGGGATGGTCAGCCCTGGTTGGGCCTTTGACGTCCGTTCCCTGGTCCATTACTGTACCATATCGGAATGTTAGCACCATAGGCTCAAGCAGGAGTGGTTTCCTTGCCAACAGAAACTTGTGTCTGAGTAGGCAGACCTGATGTAAACGTCGTCAGGATATACAGTGGAGTCAAGGTATTCTTCAAAATGGCCTATGGTCTATTGGTATCGGAATACTGTGAGCTAGGGTAGGGTCGTTCCTTTACTCCTAGAACTTTGGGATGTCTATCGTATGGCGACACCAGCTCAGTAACGAGCTTGTAAATGTTTTTTCTGGCTTGTTTGATCGCTCAGAGTAGAGCTTATTCCCGTGTATTCACCCGTCTGCTCATCCTAAAAGGGATCCTAAAAGATGTGCACAGTCTGGCCCGCACCTCGAGGGTGCGTCTTTGATGAGACAGTTTGATGAAGTTGTACCATGACGAGTTGGGAGCGAGCCGTGAAGAATGAGCGTACAGGATATTTGCAATCGGCTTTGGTACGATAGATACGCGGAAAGAGATAGAGTAGTCCTCTACCGTCCTTGCTTTTCGCTCTGATCCTAGATGAGCGCGGAAACCGGGAATATAGTCTTTCGGCGAAATATCACCGTTTCATTATAAGTTCTCTGATCTACTCGCTTTATTCTTTTAGTAATTGAACGAGCTCCTTTTACTGCTACTCAAAGTCCCTCCGCTGCTGGTCTAACTAAGCCATTACGTCTTTCCTCTATTACTCTAACTCTTGCTTCTGTTGCTCTAATTGCGCCATTAAGTCTTGCCTCTACTATTCTAACTGCCGTTGTAGATTTTGAATTATAGTCCGTAACTCTAGGTTTAACCCTCCAGCTCTACGTAGCTTTTTAAAGCTTTTATCCTAGGATTTAGGGACGCTAATCTCGTCCTACGAACTTAGTAAACTAATTTCGTCAAGACTAGCAATTACTTTAAGTGCCTAGGTATCGTCCGGGTCCGGGAGCTAATTAATAACCGCCTTAAGCCGCTCGAGTAAAGGTAGTACGAAATATTAATAAACATTAAGTGTAAATTAGTAGTATTTCCACTTTTCTTTTCCTTTTCCATCCCCAAAATTAAGCTCCTTGATTGTCTCGCGCCAGTAAGTCGTGTCGTCACTATTAATTTCGGGATAATTAGTATAGATGCGTGCACTATTGTCGTCGTGGGAGATCGAAAACCCTAGAGCTCTCCTGTGCACTTCTAATGAACGATTTACTTTCCGATAAAGGTCCACGATGCCTCGGAGCGCGATGATTATACTGTAAGTGTTTAGTCGATCGGCTAAATCGAGTCCTTATTTACTATACTTAACTTTACTAGTTAAGAAGGGAAAATAGATATCTTCGCGTACGATGTAGTAGGATTTCTTAGTAGGCGCGATATTAAGTTTCTTTCGTTATAGCTCTATAAAGTTAGACTACTTAAATCTATATATATAGTCCGGCTGCGGACGTGGTCTATAGAAAGGGATCGCTTTAACCTAGAGGTCATTGTAACCTTCGATGAGGCCGCTAAATTCTTTTCGCCCACTGATGTAGAGGTTTTCGGCCGACAGCATAATGAGAGGATGTAGATGGATGTAGACTCGAGCCTCGGATCGGCCTCGTAGGAGTGAGTGGAATGCTTCGAATCGCTCGTCATCGAACAATGAATCGCTAGGGTCCTGGTTCCCAAACAGGCTGCTGGCCCCTCACTGCAACAAACTCACCGAGACACAGATCCCATTGAACAATTTGTTAGGGTACTTTAGGTGCCGGAGGGGCTATAGCTCTCCAGATTGCTAAAAACCAGGTCCTCTCTTTTCCTTCACACACCTTGCTCACTCTCATCGAACCTCCAACTCGTTCCATCTTTCAAACTCTTAAGATTATCTAGATGTGTGCGACTATGAGATTCGTAGTGTCATACTGCCATTGCTCTAGAGGGGAGAGAATTTAGCGAGCTACACTCGCTAGGGAGACGAGCGCATATTAGTAAACTTTGAAATTTGTGGACGCGAGAGGGTAAACATATAGTTCATCAATACTGGAATGGAGCTCCCTTCAGTGAAAAATACTCGTAATGAGCACTGCAAGGTAAAACACGGGCCAATGTGGATAAAGGACCTTGACTTGTCCAAACCTCCAGTATGCCAATAACTACTCAACCTGTTCAAGGACGAGAACTTTGCCTTGGGAAGGAGAAAATTATTACGCGTACTTGTAAAAAGCGTCTCGTAAAATATGCTTATCTACAACGAGGTGTGAAGTGCTAAGAACTCCACCCCGTCATTGTATCTTGGCTACTCGCGGGGCGGTTCACTCGTAGGCTGAGCACTTTCCGCAATAGGCTAACTCTAACGACGAAGTTCTCGCAGCCAATCAAGATCCTCAACCGGTCAAACTTCATACTCGTATGCATCCATCACTCTGGTCCACTGCTCAGTGACTGGATCGGGTCTGGGCTTTTATGAGATTGGCTCAAGTTCTTCAACAAACTGACCTTTCATGATGCACTCCCGACATGCATGTTCTCCTTTCAACTAGACCGCTATCGATTGATCACATAATTTAACCAACTCCATTTCGTAGCAATCATGATCTAGCCACAGGGTGCCAGGGAGCAGTGCACGTCGTAAAATACGGTATGTACATTGGCTTGTGACAGAGACCGGGACTGCTCTTAAGACTCAACAGCTCGAGGGTGTGGATCGCCAGCCACCTTTCGAACAGGATCTAGCGGCCGACGTACTCATATTTCGTCTTGAGCTCATCACCAGTAGAGCACTCATGGGTTGTGTTCATCACATTCATCCACTAGAGGTTGCACAAAGAGCCAAGTTTTATGACGAGTTGAAAGGTGTAAAATCAGGGAAGGAGTTGCCTGGTGATATCTGGCCGTTCTTACCAGCATTCCAGCCAGAGACTTCTCACAATCCATTTCTTATTGTGTTTCTTCTACCATGGCTGGCCACCGGGCACGGACATCGTTGGAGAGGACTGGCGACGATCTGTGTTGCGAGTGGCGGTATGCTTGAGAACTTGCTGGTAGTTGGTGTAGAGGCTGGAGACTAGGGAGGTCTCGACGGCGATGGCGATGGCGATGGCGATGACGACGGCGGCGGCGACGGTACTGGAGGCGGTCGAGCTGCGATAGATGCGTACGAGACCCCGGTAGGGGCAACGGGTCGAGGAGAGGAGGGTGAGTGTTGGATAGGCATGTTGTTTGGGGCGGAGAGCGGAGAAGGAGGAGAGGCAGCAGCTTGTTCTGGTGGTCATCGAGACTGTGGCACATCATTTGGGGAATAGATATTCTGAGGGCTGTTGATCAAGTCGTATATTGTATCTGCTAGGATACAGTCCTCGCCGTGATAACAAAGGAGGTCGTTGTTGCTGGATTTATTCTCCACCACTAATTCTGGTAGGCTGATAACTTGGTTGCAGACGTGACAAATGCACGCGTCTTCACCCGAATCCTGAGTGTAGCAATAGTCGCAGAAAGCTAACTGTTCAATAGAGTGATCCTTATGAGTCCACGTGAGTGGATATGTATCCAGACGCGAGGCGGTAGTTCGATATGGCTGAGGGACTGGGGGCGCTGATGGTGACGCGCATCGTGATGGCGATCGTTGGGGCCCGTCCGGTGACGACGGTGAAGTGCTCCTATTTGCTGGCGATGGTGTAGACTCTGATAATGGTGTAAAACGGTTTGACGACGTTGTTGCTGCTGCTGCTGCTGCTGCTGCCATCTCTCCGGGTGCTAATCTGTGTACTATGGGCTGGTAAGCAGTGCACTGCCAAGCCACTTATTCTGTGAACGTGTCGAAACCAGGGTCACTGAATAGGTCGCGGGGGTCAAGCCATCACTGCCGGAAGGGCAGGTCAGCCGATGGAGGACGAGGGCTGTATCACGTGACCTGGCTGAGGACTGAGGAAGACTGTGGACTGAGGATCCAGTCCACCACAGTCCACAGTCCACACTTGCATTACACACTCACTACTCTAGCTAGGACTATTCGTAGTCAACTTAGTTAACAATCCTATACCTACATTGAGGATACCCGAACGAGAATAGTTCCCTTCGATCTATGCCTGATCACACCTCTCTAATTACCCACTTATCAAGAAACTACCTTGGTTAGTACTACTTAGCGGTTCGGATCATAACATCCATTTCCATCTCCAGACCTGAGGGTTTACCTGAGCCCTGACTAAGCAACTCTAAGCTGTGGCTGTGCAGTCCTGCATTCGGCTTGGCGATCCCTGGAGACATGTCGTGAGCGGCGTGAGCAAATCCGTGAGTTCCTGTGTAAGGACCCACAACTTGGCCCCCGGGTTGCCAGTGTTTGGTGTTTCGCATGCTCGGAAGCCCGAGCTCCGCGCTTCCCTTCTCGGTTATTGTTGCTAGGAGTGCTCTCCAGGACCGCTTTTCCGGACAGGCTGCTGCCTGGAGCAGGCACCATTCAATCGACCGATGACGTAAAGTTAAGGATCACATGTAGAGAATCATGTAAATTTCGTTTATCTTGGCTACTGTTTGCTTCCGTGTGTGGCTATATCCAATACTCTCTTTATAGACCTGTTTACTGACAAGACTGCCGTTCAAATTGGTTATGTACCTCCTTGTTCATGTTAGAACGGGCTTTGAAGGTGGGGATGGGCGCTCTAGGAGGGCTACTTCTCTTCTAGGCTTCTGATCGGCCCTCTAAGTGTAGCTAGCCTTGCCTTAGTATAGCTTTTCTATCTTTAGCCATCATATAACGTTCGGTATATACAGCACAATTTATGGAGCGTTTAATAGTATAGGAAGCTGTAGGACTCTAAAGGAAATGTAATTTTATCTATGCGTTAAGCCGCTTTCGTATACTAGATTGACACCCTAGATCGTACAGCCCGCCCATGAACAGGGCCTAATAAAGAAAATTGAAATGGTAACTTACTATGCAATATACATCTGACCGACTTACCGTCTCACGGAGTCTTAGATTGTTGAGGCACTGCTCAAATTGCCTAGATGATGAAAAAGTCGGAGATTTGTGGCGATAAAAAGTGGACTCCACCCATCTTGTATATATGTAACTCAACCATTTCATTTCTGGGAGACCCCCACTATATACACCCTCCCTTCCCAAGGTTGTAATTTCTTCCGCATGGTATATAGCCCAGCCGAACTAAGCATAAACTCAAGAGCAGAATCACGAAGTTCCTCGGGTAGAAAACCATCGACAGCCTCATTCGAAAAGTTCAAGGCTACAATCGCTTTCCGCTCCTCTGACTGACCACTCACAGACTTCTTTAGGTAGGTGAACGTCCTCTCATTTCCTCGATCTAGTAGCTCGAATTGCCCTTCAACAAAAAGATCTACATTCTCCTTGCGTAACTTAATTAGTTCCTTCTAGAACTCTAGCACGCTATTCTTAGCTCCTAACAAATTAGCGACATTAATTTCTATATAGATTTCGTTAATCTTGATCTAAGGAGAGGCTTTAGGAGCACTGAATCCTATATTTAGGCTTTTAGATAACTATTGTATTAGTGTACGCGTATTATCCCGCGACGTCCGATAAGCCGCAGCTAATACCTTCGATTATATCTCTTTATCTCCTTAATACTGTAGCTCTATTTCCTTGAAATATCGGAGGATTGCCGTGTCTCTAAAATCCTGGCGCGTCCACGATTCTAGTACGTTCCGTATGCTAATCTCCTAGCCCTAATAAATGAATAGCGTCCTAGACAATATTGCTACAAAGAGTATAAGTATCTTAGCTACGGCTACTTAGTCCCCTAACCCGCCTGGCCTAAAACGACAACGCTCCTTACATTGTTATAGTTCTCGAGAAAAGTTATAGTCTACTATTCCGGCGTACCCATGAGAAAGCCTAAAGTTTTAGCGAATGCGTCCTTTATATCTAGCAACTTCGACCGTTAGAAATTATAAGGCTTGCCGTTCTAGTTATTCGAGGCTATGAAAAAGTTAAAGTTAAATATTATATCTAACTCACGGGGTTTTGCCGATTTATACTTCATGATCTCGTCGATATTAGTTACGGGTAGCTCGCCTAGAAGTAGTATATCTTCCCCACCGAATCGCTTAAGTGCTTCAGTTCGCATCTCCTATAGCTACTCGTACATTTTCGGCCCGTCAACGATGTACTATAGTATTATAGGCTGGAATTGTTCGTTGGAGATTGATTTAATTTAATTTAATTAGTTCATAGTCTGTCCCAGCCGCCTTATATAGTAGCAGCTATGCAGCGTACGACTATAAGTATAGGTGCTTCCCCCCGTTAAGTTTCTATACGATAAGCCGCTCCTCCTAGAACTACTTCTACCTCTACTCCACGTAGTTCCAATACTCGTATATATAGCCTTAATAACTATATCCTACGTCTATATACGTATCCGGCCTTTCCTAGCCGTCCTCTTCTTCTATCTACTAATAAATACTCGTCTACGCTAAGTATATTCGAATCCTATAGACGGTACTACTCGGAATTACTCTAGTAGTCCCGTCCTAATTATTATCTTTACCGCGCGAACGACACTTAAGGAGCTATAGAGAATATACTTAATGTCTATATATAGAGTTTTACCTACCTATATTTTCTATCGTTCCTCGTACTAATTTCGATATTCGAGTAGAATGTATCGTACTATTTAGCGGCCGTAGCCGTAGTCGTATTAGTCGGTATCGGCCTTATTAATAGTATAAAGATACGCGCGTAGGCTAATTTTACCGTTATATATCTATATTATAACCGAGCTAATTACTCTATATATACCTATATAGGCGGTTAAGAGACCCTTTCCGGGGCGGAGTCTAAGCCTAAATAGCCCTCGTTCGTATTTAGCCGCTTCCTAGGATCGTTCCTATTCGATCTTTATATTATATCGAATAGTAGTCTTTATAGTTACTATTAAAATCCGAGGTATAGAGACTTCTACCTAAGGATCTAGGTTATTCGTTATACCTATCTAGCTCGTAGCCTCTTTTACCGCTCGGTCGGCCGCTTTATTACTAGGTACACTAAGATAGATAGGAATCTAATAAAGCTAAATCTTCTATCCTTTATCTCGAAGTTAACTATTACGACGGTTAAGAAATAGGTTACCTTATATAGGTACCCTCGAGGGACCCTAGAGGTATTAGTAGGAAGGTATACCGACGGAGCTATAGGAGGCTAAGGTACGTAACCGAGGAACCGGATTAGGAAATAATCGCGGTCTATAGAGCTATAGGCTACTAGAGTAGGAAGGTATAGGAATATAGGTAACGCTCTAGTATTATATATATACGCTTATTACCCTAGATAGGACTATTTATAGTTAACTTCGTTAGTAATTCTATATCTATATTTTAGGATATAGTCCGACGAATAAGTATTTCCTTTATTATCTTAGTTAATACTCTAGTACCTACTCTATTAAGGAACCCTACGTTAGTTAGAACTACTTATAGCTCGGATTATAATACTTTAACTACTACTTAATTAGTATTAGATATTTAATATAGAATTATCTCGAATTAAATTTCTACTACCTAGCGTATATCTACTTATAGCCTTAAATAATTCTTTAAAGACTAATATTATATAAGATAGTAGTTCTAACGAAGACTTAGATTGTAAGAGTATAAGTAACTTAACGAGAACACTAAGATAATCGATTAATTACTATATAGTCCTTAGAACATCGACTATAAGAACTTAAGGAGTCCAAAAACCTCGTATACGATTCGTATAGCCCCTAAGGTCTTATATACTAGGCCCCTTAGTATTTTAGGACTAGTCTTAGTATAGGATAGGTACTTCTAGAGTCTATCGTAGTCCTATCCCGTAATAATTACCTCCCTCTCCCGAAGTATACTCGTCCTCGAGTATAGGAGTAGTAGGTAAGAAGTAGCGTTCTAGTATAGCGCTGTATACGTTCTATATTAATATTAGAAAAAACGTAATACGTTTCCCTAATCTTAGGGTCGCTCCTAATCCTAATTTATTCTACTCTTAGGGATTATTCCGTATTTACTTTAGTTTACCTAATCTTAGCGAAACTTCGCGTACTTCTCGTACCTTAGTATAGTATATATAGTAAGCTATATCTATAAGGCTAAACTTTTTAATTATTTAGTCTTCGCTATTTAATCTTCGTTAAGGTCTTAGCGATTAGTCTCTAGGTAAGGAATATATTAACCTTCCTCTACTCTATCTTTCTTCTTCTTTTTTTTTATATTTCTTATTCCTTAAGACCCTCCCCCTTAGTAAGTCCTATAGTTAGCCCTCTACTTTTTCTCTACTAATAGTATACTAGCTACTTATCTTCTTATTTCTATCTAGAATTTCTATATAAGTTTCTATTTTTTCCTAGGATAGTTAAAGTTAACCTAGTATACTAATTATACTTATCTAGTATACCTCTTAGTCGAGCCTTCGTTCTATTAATTTAAGGGAATATTAGTAATAAGATTACCGAATATATTTATATAAGATATATAAGATCCTTAGGAAGGAATAACTAAGTATTACTTAATAAGAGTAAGCTTACTCTTTTTATACTAGGTATATACTAACTCTATTTTAGATAGGAAGATTTAATATAAGACTAAGAATAGGAAATATACTTAGTATAGAATCTAGGATTATACTTATAAGGTAGTAAGTTTCCTTTTCTTATACTATTCCTATACTAACCTCCTAGATATCCTTATATTTAATCTATACTATAAGGATTCTAGTTAAGTTTACTATAAATTCTATTAAGCCTAGTAGTATTAGCTAGATTATTTACTCTAGTAAGCTTTTTATCTTTCTAGCTATTCCCTTACTAATTCTATACTAGATCGTTCTATTATAGAAGTAATTAATCGTATAGTCCGCTATATTACTTCTAGCGTTATATTTCGTAATAAATTCGTAAGCTTCTCGATTACTAAACTAGATAAGAAGAATCCTAATTCTATAATATCTCTTCTAATACTTAATATTATTAGAACTTTAGCTAAAGTCTAAGCTTAGGCTATAGGTTCTCCTACTACCCCTATACTTTCCTTATACTAATACTTTCTCTAGGCCCGAATTATTCTACCCCCTTAGCCTAAGAGAAATTTATATAATTTAATCGCTAGTAAGCTTAGAGCTAATATAATAATAGAGGATATTAAGATTAAAGCTACCGATAACTAGCCTACTAGACGAGTACGACGATACTTCTATATAGATACTAATAGTAATAAGGGTAAGCGGCTTCATACTACTAATAGAAATTTCTATACTTTTACTAACTTAGAATAATTATTATTAGATAAACTTATAAAGTAGGTAACTCGTAAGCGACTCGTAGCTAAATCTCCTACTATATCTTTAAAACGCTCTAGAACTAATAGTTCTACTAAGAATTCTAATTATTACTCTAGCTCTAGTCCTAGCTTTAAGTAGGTTTCTAGCTTTAAGTACTACTCTACTATACTAATAGTATACTTTTTTATCTTATATCCTACTTTTATAGGTTTTTAAAGTTAAATTCTAACTTCTTATTATTCTTTAGCTCTATAGCTATTAAGTAGTAGTTATCTCGTATACCTTATATATACTATACTCTAAATAGGCCTTATAAAGATATCTTTATTTTATTTCTACTTTCTAATTTTTACTCGTAATCTTATCTACTCGAGTCCTTAAAGATTATATATCTTCCTAAACTTAACGAGTAGCTCGCCCGCGTTTAGTAGGTATTTCGCGGATTCCTAGGTATCTTCCGCCTTAGAGAAATCCTTCTACCTAACTAGATACCGACGTTCTACCTTAGTATCCTAGTAGTCGAGAATCTTTTCGACTTTCTACTATTTATTCTCGTCTATATCGATAGGCCTAGGCTTCTCGCCCTCGGGTCGTATACGATATAGTTCTAGTAACGATATATAGAATGTATTATATAGCCTTTTATACTTCGTTAGTAGCTTTAGTATATAGATATTCTAACCTACTACCTTAAGTACTTTAAAAGGCCCTAAGAACTAGTTACTTAGTTTCTTACTTACTCTTCGCGTACGAATAAACTTAGAAGATAGTATAACTTAGTCCTCTAGAGTATATATTCGTAGTCCTCGACGCTTATTATAGTACTTTACTATACTATACTATACTTATTTCTACTATACTATAGTTTCTTACCGAGCTTCTTTAAGCGCCCTAGCTTTCGCTCGTACGAGGTTATTATTATCCTCCTATAATTTCCGTACGATATTAATATTTATCGTAGATTTAAACGTTAGGACTTAAGAGAATAGTATTTTCTTAGTCGTAGTATTAATCGTCTAATTATAAGCGTACTCCGCGCTAAGTAGTAGTATAATTTAGTCGTCTTAATAGTAATTAATATAGTAATATAGATAATATTCTA